TTGGGGTCTTTGGTTCCCAAATAGCTAGGAGGCTTGTTGAGGTAGATGGACGTGACGGAGTCCTTGGACGTATATCAAGCTGTGAAATCACAGAATCTGGGTCGTACGGCACTAAGCCAGATCCTCGAAATCCTCCTCGAATGTTTGATTCAGTCATTGTCGTACGAAAGGCAGTATAGAATGTTGATAAGAAATCCTCCTTAGAAACATATGTAATGTGGAGTCGCATTAATTTCTCAAGTTCAGCACCGTACGACCTTTTTAACGCTCGAAAACATCCTACATCGAGTGGCTGGAGTCTATGAGAGGAATGAGCTGGCATGCAAAGAGTAATAATGTTATTACTCTTACAAAAAAGCTCAAAATCGACTGAGTGGTGGCTTTCATGGCCATCAAGCACAAGCAGCCGGTGAATGCCCTTCGTACGAAGCTTTGTATGCCGATCGAAATGAAAAATCCAATCTAGGGCTCGCTCATTTGTTGTCCAGCCATTTGTAGTTACAGCAATTACCCAGTCGCGTGGTAATTGGCTGTTTTCGTACCAGGAGGAGAGGTGGTTCTTCCCCGCCAAAATGATATATGGAGGCACTACAAAGCCGTACGACCCAACACCTTGAATTACTGTTGCCCATTCCCGGTTTCCTTGCTGTACTGTACGAGGCCGAGAAAGCCTTTCGGTACTTGTAACAACCATTTCTGATGTAATTTGGCCCATACAAAACCCAGTCTCGTCAAAGTTATAAATATCCTCCTCCTGAATCCCATATTTGTCAATTATATTTCGTACGAGGCGAAACCACGCGTTATACGCGTCTGAATTTTCGCATTGGACTCTTTGATAATCAATCCTTCGATTAAAACGCGTCTTAAGTTCAGGTTGTCGTCGTACGAAGTTCGAAGTCCAGTTCTTGCCAACGCGTCCTGCACCCCGCTCCGAGAGGATACGATTCGCCATATCTTCAACACAACGTACTCGTGGGGGAAATGATCGAGAATCTAGGTCGAGAATATGTCGTACGATAACTATTTCTTCAGTCTCTGTAAGTTTTCGAGATTTAGCGATAGAATCTTGTCGTGATAATATTCCATGAGTTCGATTAAGCAATGTCGTATAAGGTACTTTATAGATCCGCGCAACCTTCTTAACTTTTAAATGTGGGTTCGTACGAAGCGTATTTAACGCAAGAATCATATCAGACTCTGTCCAATGCTTAACCATTTTGTCTGTTAAGAAAAAACGCGCTCTGAATAAGTTTGTGGAGTGCCAAGAAAAAAAATCCATTTCGCTTGGGAATCCAACTCGCTTGTGGACTACGTTGTAATATATCCCTATTTTTAACCTACTAAAATTGGAAATTTAGTATATAGTATATTTAATAATAATAAATTTTTAATAGTAAATATAAAAGTATTTATAGAATATAACTATAAATACTAAACCCTATTCTCCTCTAATATCTTAAAACATATAGCCTATAGCTACCTAGTCTTCTACTTAAAGGTTGATAAAATACAAAAACTCTACTATTCTAGTAAAGGTACTATTACTTAAAGGTAATCATAGTATAAATATTACTCTTTAGTAAAGTTTAACCTATTAGTAGATTAAATAAATAAGGCTTACTAATTAAATATTAGTAAATTATCTTATTAAGTTATAGATATATTATTCTATCTATAGTCTATAATTAAGCTATTTAAAGTTGATTTATAAGGCTTGAAGTATAAATCTATCTAAAGTTTTATATAGTAAGGCTTAAAGTATAAGAGTTATTAGTTAAAGAAAAGATCCTATCTATTTACTATAGAATTTAAGAGTTTTATTAGTTCTCTATACTATTATCTAGTTTTAAAACTATATTATTAATTAAACTTATATAGTATTATCTATTCTATTAAATTAACTATCTTATATATATCTAGTAGATTAAGTTTAAGCTCTTTCCTTTACCCTTTTAAAGACCTTACTTATAAAGTATATTTAATTCTATTATAAAAGGATATTCTTTTATTTCTATACCTACTTCACTAGTACTTTAGCTATAGTAGTTCTAAAGTCGTTTACTATATTCGCTAATCTAGCTATTACTCTATAGATTAAAGAGTATAACTTTATTATATATTAAAAGATAATGTAGGTTATTATACCCTTTTGTCACGAATCACGTTCTCACGTGATACTTGTCATAATAAAGAGGCGCAACCCTCGACAGGCACATCCAGGTTTCTTATAGCAAATAGGGATGCTTAGACTAGCTAAGCGATCCAAAAATTTCTCGTGTATGTAGTCACGTGATCAATCGCATCGCCTGTATCGACAGTCGATGTTAGCGATAGGAGGTCGACTACATCGACAGGTGATGTAGGCGATGTAGAGAGAACGAAGGTTCTATATAAGACTGGCACGTCTGCCATTAGATAGGAGCTTCGTGCTCAACTTAGTTATCAATCTTATCATATTAGTTTGACATCTTTGATACAAGTAACGAGTTCACTTCCAAGTGAACAACCCGATAGTCTTCTTCTTATCATAGCATACCAACCAGCGAACACCCAGCCAAGTTTAGTTAGCCAGTTTGAGTATTCGTTACATTATAATATTCTTATAGATTATAGTTCTAAATATACCCTTCTTATAACTCCTTCTAATACTTACTAGTAGGGCTACTACCTTTAATACTAAACTTTCCTACTTACTTTAAAGGATTAAAACTAAATATACTAGCTACTTTATAGGAATAAAACTAATTATCTAGCCTCTTTACCTACTTTAAAGGATTTAAACTAAATATACTACTTACTTTAAAAGATGAAAACTAATTATCTAGTCTTTTTACTTACTTTAAAGGATGAAAACTAATTATCTAGCCTCTTACTAAAAAGGTAGTTAAAATATATATTTAAACTAGAAGTAGGTAAAAATAAGTCTTATATCTATTATAGTAAACTTAATAAGCTTAATTATAATAATATACTTATACTTACTAATAATATACTAATATTAAATAGGATTATATCTCTACTCTTTAATAAAGTACTACTATTAAATAGAATTATACTAATATTCTAGTAAAAAGTTTAAATATAAAAACCTAAGTACTAGAAACTAGATTATTAATAAGAAGATAATATTCGATAGTAATAGTAGGTAAGAAAGTAGGTAAGAAAGTAATAGTTTATAGTTCTAGATATACTTATATAAGAATAACTCTATACCTATAAGTAGTACCTTACCTAGTAAATATATATAATCTTTTAATAATTTTAATAATATATAGTTTTCCTAATCGAAATTATAGATAGCGCTAATACTAATAATACTACCTATTAGGAATGTAGTCTTTTAAAATTACTTATTAGCGTTTTAACTAGGCTATCATTTTTACTAAATCTAGATAAACACTAGGCTACTATTTATACTAAATCTAGACAAAGACTAGGCTAGCTATTTATACTAGATCTAGATAAGAACTAACTATTTATACTAAATCTATAAGAAGACCTATTATTTATACTAAATCTATAAGAGAACCTACTATTTATACTAAATCTAGATAAAGACTCTATTTATACTAAATCTAGACAAAGACTAGGCTAGCTATTTATACTAGATCTAGACAAAGACTAGGCTATAATTAGTACTAAATTAACTAGTCTATAATTTATATTAAATCTGAATAAAGACTATAACCGTAGATTTTATACTCGCTTAAGTATAAGTAGTAATAAAACGTCCCTTCTCCTAGTACCCTTAAAAAGCTTATCTAAAGGACCCTTCTTCTAGTACCTTAAAAAGCTTATCTAAAGGATACTAGCTAGTTCTTAAGATTCTATATATTAAAGGAAAGGTTACTTTATATTCAAGGCTTCTAAGTCGATTACCTAAAAGACTTATATAATAATAAAAATAAATAACTAAATAACCCGAAAGAGTAGTATAATAAAGAGTATAAAAGATTTAATAGATAAAGAAATAACTATAATAGTTCTACTATAGTATACTCTTATAATTCTACCTACTTTAATATTATATATATATATATATATAATACAACCTTATCTCTTAGTATATAGTAAGTAAATAAATAAGCTCTTAATTCTTAATTCCTTATAATTACTATTTAATATATATTAGATACTTGATTAGAATATCTAATATTATATATTTATTACTATAGCGTCTCATATATATAATTTAAATAAACTAAGGTATTACTATACCTTCTTTTAGAGGTTATCTTAGAGCTTCTAGTAGTAGAGGTAACGATCCCTATAAACGCTATAGGTTTAATATACTAAATAGCTACTAGATAGAAGGTTAGGGTTATTATAAAGTAGGTATTTTAATTTAGTAGTAGTTACTTAATTTTAGTATTTTAGTAATTTCTAGATAGCTAGAATTTTAGGTAGTCGGTTACGTTATATAGAGATTTAGTAGTTCTTTCTATACTTTTCTAGGCTATATAGCTTATTAGTAGAATAGTAGCAAGTTAATATAATATTTTTAGAAATTCTTTTACTTTTTTATATAGTAGAGGATACTTTTTTTTAGGTAGATTTTATTAATTAATATAGAGAAAACAGTAAGATTTGACCCCTGTTATAGACTATATAGTCATAGACTACCGTAGTCTATGCGGTATAGACCGCGCTCCTACTAGGTAGGTAGGGAAAGGCCAAAGTGAAGAGTGGGGACGGAAAAAAATAGAGCACTGTGGTACCCTGTATTGTACCTGTTCTAATGTACCTACTCGTACCTACTAGGTAGTTTCTTGTTACCCCCACATGGTACAGTACTATGTAACCGGGAAGCGTTCCGGCTGCCAGGGAAATTTTGTCAAAAACATTACACTGTAGAAAAGTTCTTTCATTGATAATTCAGCATCAATAATTACTTTGCCACCACAGCCGGCTGCTTGCTAATGAAAATGGTGGGCTAGAAGTAACCAAGTGCTCCCGATGTTGTCTCCAAGAGACTTTTCCATTATGTACAGTACATATTAACAATAAACTCCCAGTAAAGGGCATCATCAACGTCATTGCACTTGTGCTTCCACCATGATACAAACATATCCCTATTGTGCACAGATGACGCAGTCGATGATCGAGACAGACGAAACTTGATACCCAACATTAGAAGCCATCAAATCCATTCGGTCCCATGAGATTGCCAAAAAAAGCGTTTTCGTTAAAGTAGTTTCCATCACCAGCTCCGAGAGTCATTCCGATCGCTTGCTCGAAACCATCACCCATGGCATAACCTAACTCCAGGCCAAGGGAAGGATCAAGGCCTCCAGGCATCGTACCATAGTTTTGCTGGGCCGACATTGGATTCATTGAATCATAATCTGTAAACTGTTGTTGTTGTTGCTGATGTTGCATTTGTTGCCAATCATTTGCCGAGCCTGTATACTGTCCGCCACCGCTTTCGCCTCGAGACTCACCCCGAGAATTGTTGGTTGCAACTTCGCTAAGAAGTTGAAGATTGCTAACTTGGTTGAAATTCTGTTGCCCATTCTGTGCTGTGCCATTCTGATCACGACCTTTCGTATCCGCCTCCTCCGTGGGTGGTGGAGCCGAGTCGGCGGTCAAAAGGGTCGCGGAGGAACCAGGTTCCGTATGAGGTACGGCCTTACCTTCTCGTTGACGATGAAACCATGTTTTTAACATGAGAAGCACCATCAGGAATTTGGCAGATGGCCTTGATTTGTCGTCCGCGGCGGATTTGCGAAAGGTATCGACCAAGGTGTCCAAATAGTGTTCAACCTTCATGTGATCCTTGTTGATGACCTTACCTAGCTCCGAGTTTGGGGTAGCTGCCGCAAAGTACATTTTGATGAGAACTACAACGGCGTATGCTACTCGAATAAAGTTGTAAACAGGAAGACATCTGGAAGTCTCAACATCAAATTTCAGGAAGCTCTCCAAAATTCCATCAATCGACATCAAACAGGTAGAGAGGGCATCGATATGAGCAGTGGTGAGCTTATCGACCTCTCTTTCTCCTAATCCAGCAAGAGTTTCTTCCGTGAATGGTGGCTTGAATTCCTCAACATTATGATCAACATGCATAGCAACCTCATGGGCGTATAGACTGACTACATGCTGGGTCATTTGAAGATCGACTATCGAAAAAAGTTAGTGGTCGACTATGTAGTTAATTCTCCAAAGGGAAGCTTACTTGATTGAGCCTCGGGCGGTACTTGATCGCTCCATTTCTCCAAATCTCGCTCAAATCCCTTTAAAGCGTATTGGACTTTGGAATCAGCAATGGTAATAGTGGCCATTGGGTCATCCATGGAAAATTGAGTGCCCACATCTTCTGCAATATGCTGGCTTCGGACCCACTGGCAGAGAATTTTATCAGAGGGGGCTGCTTCAGGAGAGGTTTCTAAAAACTCAATGCAATCAACCATAAATGGGCCCCAGCGAATGAGATTTGGTCGACGAAGACCCATGGATGCCGTGCAACACAGGAAATAACATGCCAACCACGCCCTTCTTGCTTCGGCGCTTTCAGGGTCTGGGTATGGTGTACGTCTCCAAGGGCTGTCTCTCCATAAACCAGCAAATTTGGCCTTTTTTGGCTTATTTCTCTTGCCCATGCCGATATCAATTGCCATAACTGCTGCAATGTGAATAAATTGGTAGAATTTAAGCTCCTCGAAATGCTCAGGAGGCCAGTACCACAGCGTACTGATATGAAGAGCCTGGATCAATTCGAGAGTCTTCTCCCCGTTCATGATGATGCGTTCGGCATATATGCTCATCACCTCTTTAGTCAAAGTGCGTTGCAACTCCGGGAATATCATTCCAGAGCTAGCACTAAGAATTGCAAGGAAAAGTGTTGGCTTGGTCTTTCGTATCTCTGCCGCAGTGGTGCCTTTTGGAAAGACAACAGCAGGGAGGTGAGGTGCCATCTTCGTAACGTAAGTGTCAAATAACAATGAAGCCTTCTCCGCCGAGAGTAGATTTCTATCCACAACATCAGCATATTCATGGGTTTGGGCAGCCTTCGGTGCCGATGAAGCATCGCTGACTCCTCCGTATTGATGCGGGCCACCTGATTTATCGAGAGAGGATTTAGTGAAGCCGCCACTCGATAACGATGGATCAATCGGTCCCGAAGACTCGCGTGATTCTGTATGTCGTCTCTTCTGGCCAGCAACTACCATTGGAGCCACAGATGGTGAACTTATCGAATATTGTTCAGGAACTTTTGGGTATCCAGCAAATTCCGGTTGCGTGGATTGCGACTTGGAAGGGGGCGCAAAAGAGTGATTGTAGCCGCCATTGGTAACTTGTTGGTATGGGTTATGTGCAGTATGAAGGGCTGCCGTATTTGGTTCGGCATCGTTGCCTCCATCTTGACTGCCGGGTTGATGAGCAGAAGCCTTCAACTGCGCGACGGTTCTCTCCAATTCTTCGACGCGCGTGTCCGTCTTCTTTTGACGCTTGCGACTCGGTGGGTTTGTTTGACATTGTTTGTTTGCTTTAGCGCATCTTTCGCAAGGCCCGCCAGGGACAGCACTCGCAATGCATTTGACCTTCAGATCTGAATAGTGGAAGAGAGCGGTTAGCAGAGCTCTGCCTGAGCGTGCGCGCGGCGATGGGATGGGATGGGATGGAAAGTACTTACGTCGACACGGCTCGCATGCTCTCGGTCGCTTTGAACCCCCTCCACTTGCCGGAGTTGCAGGTCCATTCTCCGGTGTTAGCTGGGGATGGTGAGGTTGAGGCGCATAGTGCGATGCTTCCTGAAGAGGAGGGTATTGCTGCTGCTGTTGCGGTGATTGCGAATTGGTGGAGTTGGCAGCAATGGGATTGGGAGCACGGAAGTTGGAGGGAGTGCTTGGAGGAGGGAGAGGAGCTGCCGACTGCAGTCGGGGATCTAGATTATTCGCCATAACTCCCCGCGCACCGTGATGTTGCCGTTTGGTCCGTTTTCCGTGGTGGATGGAAGAGAACCTTACTGTAGGCGGTCGGTTGTTGAGCTCATCCCTACACGCCAAGATCTTAGCGGGTCTTATAAAGAAAGACGCTAGCGTCGAGGAAGGCACACTCAGTACAGAGTCGGAGCACCAATAGAATAGGTAGTGAATTTGGACTTTTTGTTTGGATTACAAATCGGTCGATTAAATTACGTCTGTTATGACCAGATTCACCCTTCTATGACTCAACTCACCAAGGTCTACTCATTCAGTGTTCTACATACACCAATAAGTACCTAGGTAGCTAGGTAGTCTCGTTCTTTGAGGCAGTTATCTACGCCACAATCTAGCCAAGATAAACAGCACAAGAGCACCTATACAGAAAGTACCGAACCCAGCTATCATTGCAATTAGGTATGTTATGCTGCAAAGGCGTGACTTGGCAGCAGGCGTACTCGAGTACTACCTATAGTACTTGTGGGCGCTACTACCCAAATAGGTTGGACTTACAGGTCAACCCGGCCTCAGTTCATCATAGCGTAATTTGTCACTGACCAAGGAAAGTAGAACATCATAAAACAACACTCGAATGACAACCTGCTTTCGTGATAACAGTACCAGTACCAGTATCATTGCATCAATCGTTTAATACATAGTACGAGCATCCTTCGACCAATGGGAACCAATCCAACGACTTGCTTAGCACAATCATGCGAGACCAACTCGGATGACTTTTTGAGGTGTTGGCGACGTCAGGATGATTTAGAGTGTCTGAAAGAAAGTTCATGTAGTTGGTGTCCAATGGTAAGCTTGCGACAACGCTCCAAGTGAAATGGCTGAACTGATAGACTCAAAGTCCTCGACATGTGTGCCCAATGGGTCCCGAATACCCATTCTTGCGCCAATCTTCCAGGCAGACATCTGCCCCATTAAATCAGAGAGATGGGAGTTACGTTCTCAACCCCTGGGGACGCGGGTCTCGACCCTCACGTTTCTGACTTGTATTATTACTTTTTTTTTCACTCTGACGGCGCTGGGTGTCACTTTGATAGGCGTCAAGACTTTCAAGGCGGTGCGCGTGAAATGGCAGAGTAGGGAAGATGGATGGTGGAAGAGGTGCAGGAAGAACTTTCGTCCGGGGTGGTGGAGAAAATGGCGCGAAAATGCGATTCGCGATGATACTACCCAGCCATTGCTGCAGTAATCGCTGGGAGGATAAGCAGAATTTGCACTCGCGTATGCTCATGCTCCCAGAGCATCTTCTCAAGCAGAGTATCTAAGCAGACCTGGACTTGTGCCACCGGCACATGCTCGACTGAAGGCTCATCCAGAGCTCACAGGCGGAATGATTGCCACTTCGTCACCCTTGTTGATCACCAACTCGGTGGAAGCACTGTCAGAAACATCAACATACTTGAAGTTGACCGTGACCATACAGCTCTCCAAAACTTTGGATTTTATCCCAGCATACTTTTCCTCTAGCATCTCGAACAATCTCGCTGTAGAAATTGGTAGATGAGCGAGCAACGTCTCCTTCTCTTTCAAAGTGTAGGAAGTGGCGGGACCCCAGTACAGGATCGTGAATGATTTTTGGCCATTGACACCGGCCTCGGACTCAGCAGTCGACATGGTGGAGCGTTTTACTGCTTGGATTCTCTGGAACAGACCGAGTCAGCTATTGCCCATGCAGGATGTGTAATAAAGTATACAAAAATTGTAGAATTGCGCATCGATGTCAGAGATCTTGGTGTAGACCACATTGCCAAACAGCAGAGCCGTCTGGCTTCAGGTAATACATGCTATGATTGTTCATCACACGATGATGTGGGGTTGTGCGAGCATGGTAGAGAATTCATACATACCAGAACATCTCAAGGAACTTCAAGACATCCTTCCTAGGCACAGTACATAGGAACGAAGGAGTTACTCGGTCACAGCGGATGAGCTCAAGCAGCAGTTTTGTGACGCGGCTTTGCGGATGGAGGAGAATTTTCTAGGGAATGAGTTTCGAGGTTTTCACTTTCCAATAAATACCCGAGTACGGGTACTGGAGGACATACTTGGTCTGCGCCGATAAGCGCACGGGCCACTAAATTCGCGTCACCCAGATTTGCGGCCGAAATATTATTTTGCGGTCGCCTCTCATGGCAAGGGACAAGGCAGCAAAACAGTCTCAGTCTACCATCGGCTCTCTCTCAGAGATGTTACGAAGTCTATCCACTTCTGCGCAGGCAGGAGAATCCTTCGTCTGCTGGCAATGTCTGGCAAGCTGGCGTCAAGGTGCGAGAGGCAAAGGCAGAGGGGGAGTGAGAGCAAGAGCAAGAGCAGGAGCATGCGCAAAACCGTCCCGTCCATTACCTCCAACGCCTCAGCAGAGATCTCTTAGCACGTCAGTACGTATCATGCATGCAAACTTTCGTCGACTGTAACACTATCTAATTGAACCCCTAGGTCGATGCGCCAATTCGTATTTCTTATGGTGGCCGTCTCCAACACCCCAATGCAGCTAATTCAAGAGATCTTGGATTAAACATTCGCAACCGCCTGAGGATTTGGGAAAGCCAAAGCGGGAGCGATGTGGCTGCACTTGCTGCGCAGACCTTTCAAGATGTTGGTCAAGCTGGTCGGGCTCTGAACACGACGGGTGTAACGGCCTATACTTCCGTACTGGATGATAATACGGAAGATGAGCTAATTGAGGAGTTCCACCCTTTTGCAGAGGAGGAGCTTGCAGACGTGGGTGGAAAGCGCACTTTCTTGCTACCGGGAGATCTTGTAGAGTTACAGTAAGTTCATAGGGAGACGAAAAGCGCACTTCGCCAGCTAAATCTAAATCTAGGATATTGGGGAATCGATACCAAGAGCTCGCAATTTTCGTGCGCGATTTGGGCCTACAGAGTCAATTCTTTACCATGTCTGGTCAATGGGTACAACGGAGGAACACTCATCCAACCTTTTATGTACCGGGCTTTGTAGAGCAACGAGAGCTCGACGACATTCTTCCGTTTCTTCCAAACTCAGATATTCAAGGAGACAAGCTAAACAAACTGACCAAATTCCAAGAAGCGCTTCCTCAGCTTATTGGTAAGTCGTGCATCAGGAAGATGCTCGATTTCTGGAGACAAGCAGATGATGCTTTTGCCAAATTGGCCCCCAAAATCGAAGCCGCCCACCAAATTCTCGCACACCCATTTCGAACAACTTATGCCAGCCTTGACGAGATCGCGGGGAAAATACTCGCCGATAGCAACTCTAGATTACCCGCGGGGAAGTTTCCCAAAACCACTCTATACGCGATCCATCGCCGTCTCCTCGCGAACAACATTGGAATATATACCCAACAAAAAGGGACCTTAAGAGCAGGTGGTGAATATGGAATTGTGTCTAGAAATGAAGTATCTGAGACTAGCTCAGTCACCCAGTTTGTCCGGGTCTACATCGTGGAGAAGGCGAAAGGGGCCCCACCGGTTCGTCGTGGGCCTCTGGAAGGCTTCGTCGTCAAGTGCCAACGTTTAATTGACGAAAGTCGAAAGCACCGTCAATTTACTCCGTATGGCATGATTGGTCCTTCATCGGAGAAGTCTACTGGTACGCAGTATCGAGAAGGCTGTGTTCGGGAAAAGTTTACACCCGTTGAGAACCTGTTTGTTCGTTTTCTAGAATCGTGGGCTGGCTTAAAAAGCTTCAACCAAGGGGCGTTGACATTGGAATCAGTGGGTTCCCAAATACTACGGAGTATTGACCGTTACGATGACGTGTTGATGGATGAAAAGATAGCTTGGACTTTTTTACAAGAAATTGGGATCATTCCTCCTTGGGAGACACGCGCCCCATACGTGCTCCGACTTCCTCAAACTGGACAACGGCTGCAGACTGAGGCCACTGTGCCCGACAGAGGCTTCGTCGAAGATAGACTGGCCAATATACGCAGAGACTGGGGGGACCTTCCTGCCTTCTGTATCGATGCTTCCAATGCCCATGAGATTGATGACGCCATTTCCATAGAAAAAACGGATAACAAAGATGAGCATTGGCTGCATATTCACGTCGCCGATCCGGCATCACGTATGGACGTCGCTGGTGCAGCTGCAGATTTTGCGCAAAGAATAGGCTCCAATGTCTATCTTCCAGATCGCGTACTTAGTATGCTGGATTCTAAGGTAGTTCGGTCAGAATTGAGTCTTGTCAGTGGGCAACAGCGGCCTTGCATGACATTCAGCGCAAAGTTAGACATCGAGGGTAAGATATTAGACTTTAATGTCTCTGCAGGCGTTCTTAACAACGTTGTCAATCTCACCCCAGAAGTTTTTGAAGAAATTGGTTTAGGCAAGAAGGTGTCTGATGACACGATAATCTATACAGTTGGTGAAACTCCTCCAGCCTCATCAAGACCATCAAGAAAAATGTCCTCTGTCGAAGATCTTCTTGATCATCATGAGAGCTTGAAGCTCATTAACCACTTTGGGCGACTTCGTTTGAAGCTGTTTAGAAGTCAAGGCGGAACTTACATTGTGGCCAACAAATTCTCTGTTGATGTGGACTTTCGTGGCCCACGGTGGACTCAATCTTTGATTGGCCAAAGTTGCACCCACGCTGGCGACCCTACGATCCACGTTTCTTCGAAAGGAATAGGCCGATCTAAAAATGGCACATTGTCCTACCTTATGCACCTCGCAAGTGAGGTGTGCGCGAAATGGTGTAACGCACGTGCTATTCCAACCATATATCGCGTTACCCCCCGCAATGGAAGCGCGGAAAGTGCACCCGATTACTTTCGAAGAGTTGTGGCTCCGATTCTCAAAGAAGGGAAACACATACCCCCCGAAATTGAGCAACAGTACCAAACTTTGGTAGGTCCTGCTCAACCCTCCACAGTTCCCGGTCCTCATATTGCGGTTGGGGCGGAGATGCTGGTGAAATGCACAAGTCCCTTGCGTAGGTACGCCGATTTGCTTGTCCATTGGCAGTTAGGCGCTGCCCTATTGGAAGAATACCGAACAGGCTGTTCTCTCACGAGCGTCAACACAGATGAAAAAATATTCCCATTCACCACAGCACAACTCAACAGTTTGCTACCAAGAATTGACACCCGTGAAAGGATGATCAGAAAGGCACAAAAGGATGCAGAAATGGCTTGGTTCATGCAATTCATCTTCCGGGCCTGGAAGTTCAAGGAAGCAGAACTTCCCCCGCTGACTTTCATCGTCAAGGATTTCTTGAAGAAGGAAAATTCCGAAAGTACAACTGGTGTCGTGACGCAGTTTGCAGTGCCCGCCCTGATGAAAATTCCAGAGTGGCTTGAAATGGATGAAATAAGCCCCTCCGACGTGTTTGAAGTGGAGATCGCAGACATCGACGTTGTTGGAGGTCGGCTCACTGTTGAACCTACTCGACGATCTGAATCAGGTTCTGAATGAAGGGAAAGAGATAGTCAAGATGTACCAAATTATTTCCACTCCTAGGGGAGAATGTTTCGCCGCTCTATGTATAAATTGGTGTACAATAGTAAAAATACGTCTATTTTAGCACATCTCCCTTTGTATTATTGAACGGAGTTTTTGGATGGTATTATTGTATCATACCGTAGATGGGTGGAATGAATTGGAAGTATCGTTGCCAAGATGGGTGCTACTGAATTGTCGGAAAATGAGACTAAGACCATGTTGGAGGAATGTGAATGGATAACCGTGGCAACGAGACACTTGTCAATCCTCACTAGAATTAACCGAGAGTAAACATGAACAAGCCCCTGAGTTGTATATTTACTTGTATCTTTCCCTCCATGTACCTTTCTCTGCTCATTCATCTATCCTCCTTAAACCCTCCTTACATATACATATCCCACTCTCACCACTTTATACTGCAGGTGAACTCCCCACCATTCCACACACTTGGAGATATCAACAAATACACACACTCAAACAGACATACCATCAAGAAAAAGCGAAAATGCTCAACAACCTCGCCCCCTTGGCAGCCGTTCTCCTACCCCTCGTCACCGCCCAAAACGCTGTACCAATCCAAGTCATTCCAGGCAATCTCCAAGTCAACCCCATCGCCAATGTACCCGCCCTCCCGATCTTCCAACCATCCGGGGTCAGCAGCGTCATAGCCGCACTCCCCTTCAACAGAGTTGCTCCCACCGATGCCTCTCCAGCTAGCACGACTCCAGGTTCAGATATATCCACCTCCACAGCCACCGAGACAAGCACGTTAACGGCTTCAAGTTCGAGCTCCGAGAGTGATAGTGAGACGACAACAACGGCGTTGAGTACCTCGACGCTTACTAGTAGTGATGTATCGACCAGTACTAGTTTCTTTACGACGACTGTTGTTTCGAGCACACCTACTTTCACCTCTACATCTACTTCGACGAGGATGATGAATTCCACGGTGATTATCCGGACGTCCACAAGTGGTCCTGCTGTTGTTACTAGTGATGTGAGAACGCCTATTCGAACTCCCCCAGCGGTTAAGACGGAAGGAAGTGGGGCGGGAGGGAGAGCGGATGGGAGGATGGGTGTAAGTTTTTATTCTTGTCTTGATGGTCTATAGGATGCTAATATTTGATACATAGATTGAGACGATTTGTTTGTTGATGAGTGCTGCGTTTGGGTTTTTTGTTTTTGCATGAGGGAGTGTTGAGTGGACTTTGGGTGGTGGGTAAGTATTCAAACAGCAGGACTTAGTATCTAATTGGTGTGGAGGAAACGGCTATGTTCTTGAGGTTATTCATTCACACGACTGGTGTTGAGGAGTTGGGAATTCTGAGTTTTTTTTTATTTAGGGGCGTTTTTGGAAGCTGGGGTTGGAAGCTTGGGGGATATAATAGGAAAGAGGAACTATTGGGTTTTGTTTAGAAGAGGGGGAATTGTTCTTCGGGATTCTTGTACAGTACAATTGTATGAGGTAGTTGCTAGTGGTGTAGGATTGGTGGGATGATAATTGGGGACGGGGAAATACTGTAGAGGTTATTGTTAGATTCTATAATTCTAAGATATGTTTTTCGTATGCTGCAGTGTCCGTTTTATCTAGTGTTTATTTTCGTAGTCATTTGGGTTATTCATTTCAGCTCAACTGAAAAAAGCAGCCTTCTAAGTATATGTCTGACTCATGTATTATCTCGTCCCCTTTTACAGAAACAGTCCGGATTGTTTTAGCATCTTGTTACATAGGAACCTTAACTTCAACCTCAGGAATATAACACATTGAGCTGCATTATGAGAGGATGACTTCGAAAGGTACACGTCTATTTTTGACTTGTGGGCCCTTGTTGAAAATGCAAGAGTAACCAAAGAAGACAATCGGATTGTTATTACTTTCCTTCACTATTCAAAACAATAAAGAAAGTTTGCGCGAATTTCTTAGCTGATTCTTTCTTTCAACGACCGCCTCAAAGAACCTTTGAAGTCCTTCTTTGACTCTTTGTACCAAGTTGTTGTACTGGTAAACAATTAGAACAATGCTTTATATATATCAAATTTCCAAGCGATGTCTGAAGAAGAATACAAATTTTGCGATCTTCAGTCAACCCACTACCATCGATATCATCGGTTCGAATTACTTACTAAAATCAAAGCTAGAAAAATGTGCTGCCACATTACAACCACAAGAGCATGCCATCACAGCATTGCCTCCACGCACCAATGCGGCGGCCATCTGCGCGGAGAAGAATGCACAATACCGTTGCAAGAAATTTCCATCCAGCTTCATCACACCTGTCTAGAATGCCTCCACAATCACGACTTATGGGCCACTTTAACCCACACCACTACCACACTCCCCAACTTCCTTTGTGACGCACAAAGAATCTCCAACAAATTCCACGGTGACTACATGGCTCTCTTTTGCGAGATTTGGGGGCTCCAACCAGCGGATAGTGAGTACATGGCCCTCCTCCCAGACACAGACATCGAATGGCTTTCTGTAGCCCGGGCGTCTGTGGATCTAGCCGCTCGGTCTCTTCTTGAGCAGAGATTCACGATGTTCGAGCTGGAGGAGACGCTTGCTGAGTGTTGTGCACAGTACTTTGGGTTTGTTGAGACGCTTCGTTTCCTGAATGATATGTTCGAACGGGCGATATATGCACAGGCTGTATCGAAAGCCTTGTCGCGCTACATCGTGGAGCTTCAACTTTCTCTCGATAAATTCAAGGAGCTTAGAAAGGAAGCACTATTGCCATTGGTAAGAGAAGCTTCCCCTGAATCCGTTCCCGTTAATTTCGAAGGGTGTCCGATTTGTGACGGGAGGGATGATTTGGTTCATCTTGCTTGTCCTGCTAACCATGTATTTTGTCGGGGATGCGTAAAAGAATGGGTTAAGGATAAAGATGTTGCGACTTGTCCCCTGGATCGATGTGCGTTTCCGAGGATGGAGTTCGATTTTCCTGAGGAGGCTTATATGGAGGAACTTTCTCGTGGTGGTGAGGAGGATCAGTTGCCAACACCACATTGGTTGATGATACTACGAGGTTAGTATCAGCTCCATAGGTGAGTTTTAAGCAGGCAGGATGTTGAAGGGTAAGCTAGATAAAAAGACTTCCTTCAAAAACGTCTACGAATTTCCTTTTCCCTTTCGAAATAAATATATATATATATATTATCATATTCACATGATATCCTTTCTTACAAATTTTCGTTCCATGTTCTTTGAAAGTGATTAGTTAAGTGCAGCGTTTTAAAAACTACTCAACAACTCGAGTACTACTCTGAGTTAGTCTGAGTTGAGTTGAGTTGAGTTGAGTTGAGTAGTGGATTCGACTACTCGAGTACTAGTTGAGTAGTAGCACCTACTCAACTAAACTCAACTCATTTACAACGCTGATTAAGTGGAGATTCCTAATAAATCAATGAAATGAGACGGATAAACATTACATCATACTTGTTACGATTTCGCCAGTGCTGTAGTTTTGTTCAAAGTTAAAACTCCGGTATGTTCGAGCCACCCTTAAACAACACTCCCGGGGTTCTGCTGGTATTTCTACCGGAGTGGACTCTCTACCCAAGTAGGTACACTAAAGCTAGGATGGTTGAGAAGCATACGAAAACATTGTCTTAACTAGGAAATCACTTCTTACTTACCTTGAATTGGGCTGAATTAACTATAAAGTAATACCGAACAAGAATCTCAAATCTCACGAAGAATAAAAATTCCATACAATCTCAAGAAACCCCCTGCGGATCTTCGTCTCGCTTAGGACCGATCCGCCCCTTTTTTGCTCATAACTTCTCCTGTATCAGTCGTCCATACTTGCTCAGTGAAAATACTGCCTCTCCTCATTTATTTATCGTTTCAAATCAGCTACCAAAAACAGCCTTATCGAGCGGTGACCTCTAAAAGCTATTTATTGACGTTCCGAAGTGCCGGTGCCCGGCAAATCTTTGTACTTCTCACCCTTGGTTTATTTCCGAAGTACTTCGCTCAAAGTGCTGAATACTCCTGGTAAAAGACTCCTCCAGTCCACCCAGGAGATACTCCTGGAGCGTTTTGGCCTATCACAAAAGCCTGTTCTATTACTACTGTACTTGATATAACTTCTTCTCAAAAGTACACGCTTTTGTTTTATATTAATTCGAATTATACTCTTGTAATACTAGTCGGTAGGTGTATGTGAGAGATAGAAAGATACTAGAGTGTTTACTAGGATGTCTCGGGGTGTTCAGCAAGGCATTTTACGAGAGACTTGCTAATTTCACCAGGTTCTAGGGTAACGGTCTTAGAACACCCTGTTACTTCTACTTTGTAGAAGTAACAATGTGCCAGGTACTCTACTTGGGAAGCTTCTCGCACTTATTAGACAGAACTTGACTTAACTTCGTCTCAAGCCTAATGAGCATATAATTTTAGTGGAGACTTTATCCTGTACTCTACAGGCACCCCCTTTTTATAAATCTTACAGTACTACTTTTTAATTTGGGATTTCCTGGATCTTCTGGTCTATCATTAATAACCTCTAAATCAACTGCCTTGATATCTTCGACAAGGGAAGATGGTACTGCCCACAACCTTGCCATTTTCGAATTCGTAGAATCGTGATTCCGGCCATTTGGGCTTTTTGAGCCGAAACGTGAAGTCGTTTGGGCGGATTCAATGCTGGATATCAGATTGCTTTTGGGTTTTGTGAATGGAGAAAGTGAAGGCTGTCAAAGTGAAGCACACGGTGGACTAAGCTTTGAGACTTTGGCTAATCACTTCGTAAATATCGACTAAGATTTTGTTAGGTTGGCTCTTTCCCACACACCAAATCAGCATCTTCCATTGATCAGGTATACTCTAACAGCTCCCCATGTTGGTGCCTACGGAGTAACTTAGCCCCACTCTGACTCTCCTTCCATATTGGGAACGGAGTTATGCCAAAAGAATACACCGCGAACTCCGCTGTTGACTCCGAGGAAGAACACGCAGTGCCGAATGTAACTTCTTTCATCTTGACTGTCAATTGGTACTAAATAAGTGGAGAAACAGGAAATATGGGCTGTTGCTGAAAAACAAATTGAGGTCCTTACTCCATGCTGTTGGATACCTGTTGGCTTACTAAGCGGCATAGATAAGCGAGAGAACCACCATAAAACAGGCCCCAAGAGAAAGGGAACATCTCTATCATTCTATCATTCCAAGACCGTTTTCACAATTTCTTGATATGACTGGCCGTGGGAGCTCTCCAGTCAACGGAGGGTCTTCGGATTGCGAGGAATCAACACCGCTGCTTCCATCCGTTCCAAGCAACCAGAATGGAGACGACTCTCCTTCCAGCAGTGCCTCATATTTTATGTCAAGCCTCACAACTCGCCAAAAATGGAAGAGTGCATGGAGAATTTGGAGAATCCCTGTTGTGTGCTATACTTTCGCACTACTCATCGAATTCGGAGATTTCATTCGCTCAACGCCCAGAACCCGTCTGCTGGAATCAATTATTTGTAATCGGTATTACGCAGAACAAGCACTCAATAATGGCAGTGGAGTGGAGTCTCTCAGTGGTTCTCATAACTATAGGCTGCCAATTCCAGAGGAGCAATGCAAAGTACCTATAGTGCAAGCAGAGCTGGTGACCCTAAAGGCTTATCTGAAGATTGGAGAGAATTTACTTTGTGAGTAGCATCTAGTTGTCAACCCACAACACTACCTAGTCAGCTCAAGAAAGTTCGTTTTCTAATGGCTTAGCTCTTAAATTCGCCATTCCCTTTGGATATCTTGCCAATAAAACGTCCCGCAACTTCGTCCTGACGCTGGATGTATGTGCTCAAATCATTTCTGAGCTGTGGACACTCTTTGTTTGCTACTTCACCCCCACCGTACCCTTTAGCCTGATTTATCTTACGATGTTTCTTAAATCCACAGGTGGAGGCCAATCAGTACTTACAGCTATGGTGTATGCAATTATTTCCGATTCCGTTGCTGCTGAGACGAGAGCAAGAGCATTCCTTTACCTAGCAAGCGCGCCATTAGTTATAGAAATGGTAGCCCCAGTGTTGGGATCAGTGTTGATGGAGAGATGATCCGTGTATGTACCGTTGATTGTGGGGTTTCCTTTCGAACTATCTTCGCTTGTTATGCTTAGGATTATTCCGATTACAGTAAAGCAGGGTAAGCAGACATCGGAAGAACGCCCACTGCTTGATGACCCCAACTCCACTGAAGGTGACACCGAGAACGATAACCACGATGAATCAGAAGGTGCCAATCGCAAACTCAAAATCATAATCTTGAGAATTTTTGGCCCTCTAATTATCACATTGACATTAGTTTGCCGAAGCCGCAACCTCCTACTGGTTAACCTCTCATTCCTCGTAACGACACTAGGTCGTGAAACTTTAGATTTCCTTGTTCAGTATTGCTTGAAGAGATTTGGCTGGAAGCTTGCTAAGGCAAGTGTCAATCTACATATATCCCATCCCCATTGTTGAATACTCGCTAACGACATATGACAAAACTAGGCAAACTATCTCATCTCGTTTCGAGCATTTGTCAACCTCGGCCTTTTTCTGGTCATTCTACCCATCATTAGCAGATTCTTCCGAAAATCGAGGGGCATGTCGCCATCCAAATCTGATCTATGGATTGCTCGCGTGAGTTCTATCTTTGGAATCATAGGGCCTGTTATGATAGGACTTTCACCATGTGCCGAGCTATTGATTGTTGGTAAGACACCTATAAAACTGCTTTCTAGGACAAAAATGGGAGTGTTACGCTAACAATTTGAACCAGCTCTTTCGCTATTTACTTTGTCGTTCGGCTTCCACGCCGCGTTTCAGTCCTACGCAACTTCTTTGGTAAAACCCGAGGAAGTGGCGTTACTATATTCAGCATTAGCGTGTATGAGCATCATCGGAGCATTGATTGCATCACCTCTCATTGCAGCTACTTTCCGTCTTGGGTTGAGCATTGGAGGGTTAGGAATTGGCTTGCCGTTCTTCGTGGCAGCGGGTTTCTTTACGGTTAGTGCCATTGGTGCTTGGGGATCTCGGGTGGAAGAAGATGCAAACGATTGAAGTACAGAAAAGTTCTTTTGGCTTTGATCTAAAGTAGACTTGGCTTTACCATATATCAAGAGATAGACCAAGAGATAGACCATAAGCTAGAATCGATGATAGATAGATCTCTAGAATCTTCTCAATATATTTAACTCTATGCCTCTTTTGGTTTCCGCTTAATACTGTCGCTGGTTACGAGAGTTTTTTCTTGACTTACTTAGAACTCAGGTTTCTACGTCAAGACCAGTACTCAGCACTTGGATTATGGCTTATTGTGACTATAAGCTCAAGGGAGAATATGTTCCTGGAAACGCTGAATCCTGTAAGACTGTGCAGATGAAAATAGATCCTTCTCCAGGAATAAAAAAACCCTCATTTCCCAGACTCAAGATAACTCCACCTTTCTCGCTTCGCTTTACCTCGAAGCAATTTTGCTAGTATCTTGGATTATATATTATTCTACTTCTACCACGTATAAAATTATACGAATAGAAATAAAAGATAGAGGGACTCGCTGTCTATATACTTGCCTACAAAACATTCTAGAATATCATAAGAATTCTAATATAATAAATACTACGAAATCACCTTGCTTATCGGAACCGATAGAAAAAGGGTTGTATTAGGTGCAATTGTCAATAATAAGTAAAGAGAGATAGTACGGTATTAAATCACCTTTGCCTATCATACATACGATGTCTACTTATATAGGTAAAGGCCTTGTTCCTGTAATTTTCATCAATTATAGCACATTTTACATCCTAAACTCGTGAAAGCATCAGATCCTATTAGATCGCTTAATATTCTTGACAGTGGATCGCGAAAAGGTGTTTCTGGCCGCAGCTGAAGGGATATGTTATACATTCAATTGCGATCTCTAACCAGCTTCAGCTTCTTACCCTATTAACAGCTCAACCCGGAATAACTGTTCTTCCGTTCCCATTATCCCATTCACGGATCCGATCTCTTGAATCAACTGTACCCACAGACAAAACATCCAAAAACACTAAAAAGATTTAATACCCACACAACGACTCAAAAAAAAGTTGGATATTATTATATTTGCATGTCCAAAGTATATTTTACTCCAGGTGAGTGTCGAACTCACGACTTTCGCATATCTACAAGTAGATGAATCATACTAATCAGTTTCCCGAAGAGTATAAGAACGACACGCTAACCACTCTATAACACTGTTAGCCTTTGATTGTAATCATAGGCAGTGAACATGTTACTTACGCGTCACTGGAGTTGTATTATTTTGATTTTGATGTCGGGTGTCTTATTTGCGAATATGAAGGTTTGTGCGCTCTCGGATCCACTTCTTAGATGACTCCATCCAATGGGTGTTTTATGTATCTACCGGATTATATCCGAAACCCCGCCATTGTGGGACTTTAGAAGGCTACGAAACAGAGACAGGAGCTAAGAAGGCTGAATTTGGAGTTGTTGGAACTTCAGAGACTCATACCTTTGTAGGAACTCTCTTCCCTCTCACACCAGTCCCTGAAGAGTCAACACCAAAAGTCAACACCAAAAGTCAACATGCCAACTCAAGACCCTCAAACAGTACCTCCGGACGAGACAGAGAAAGAACAAAAGCAAGAAGAGGAGGAGGAAGAAGAAGACTACATGTCCATGATAATTCCTGAACAAACCCTTCCCAAGCGCAAAGAGACCTACACCCAACGTCTCCTCCGTCAGCAACGCGAACGCGAAGCCTCCCAACCAAAACCCAAAGCTGAGCGTTTACTCCACGAGGCAGCGCAACGAGACACCGCCCTCTCAACCTCCCTTCTCTCCTCACCCAATGCACAAAAGAATAAAGGTCTAGCAATGATGGCCAAGATGGGCTTCAAACCTGGTGTCGCATTAGGCAGCAAGGACAATCCGCATGCAAGGTTGGAACCTGTGGGTATTAGTATTAAAGAGGATAGAGGGGGCATAGGATTGGATGCCGAGAAGAAGAGAAAGTTCAATGATGAGGTGGAGAGGGAGGGGAAGAGAGTCAGAGCTGAGGAGGGAGATTATAGGGAGAGGGTTAGGAGGGAGAGGGAAGTGGTTCGATTGGAAGGGCAGATTGGGGCCGCGATGAGGGTTGCGGAGAGCATGGCGGGAGAGAAGGAGGAGGTTGAGATGGGCGTTGTGGAAGTGGGAAAGAAGAGGACAATTTCTACGAAGCCTTTGAAGTCGGTTAATATCTTGTGGCGGGGTTTAATACGGCAGCGCGAGGAGAAGGAAAGGGATAGGAGGATGCGATACGATCTTCAACAGAGTTTGTCACGACATGTTAATTACGACAATGACGATGAAGATGCCGAGGACAAGAGAGCTCTTGGGAGGGATGTGGTTCAGCATACTTTGGTGGAAGATCTTGAGGAAGAAGATCCGGAACTGGACGCCTTCAGCGAGTTAGATCCTGCTGAGAGGCTAGAGAAGCTCGTCGTACACCTGCGACAAGAGCACAATTACTGCTTTTGGTGTAAATTCACGTACCCAAACAAGGAATTTGAGGGCTGTCCAGGGCTGACAGAAGAAGAGCACGATTGAGAATAGCGTTCGATTTGTATAAACAAGGAGTTCAAGGAATGTCGAGGGAGAGGATGATCAAAAGCTGCGTTTGTGTTCTTAGCGGAGTTCATTGGAATGATACCCACTTTTGCCATGAGAACGGCCTATGGATTTGGCATGCTATATGAATAATGTACAATTAAATGTGATTTACAATACAAGCACAGGCCTAGATGATCTGAGCTACAAGTACACTCTTTCTGAGTTGCGATATCATGACTCTTCAGACGTCGACCAAACGGCACAGTCTGGAACTCCCATATTCCCAGCTACACGTTTCGACACTTCTGGTGCCGTCAAGATCTCCCTCCCCTCCGATTCTATACCAGTTTCAAAAGCATATCGAAGCAGATCCGAAAGAACAATCCTCGCTTCTTCCATCTTTCCTTCGTATGAAAGATCTTCATATGAGATTCCCCGAGCTAAAAGAAGTTTGTCTCTTTTCTGCTTGAATTCCATAAAGAGTTTGCTAACATTTGCCATCCTCCGCCTGGTAGCCGCTTTCCTCAGTCCGAGACGCCGAGTCTTGTACCCCCCCTCATTCTTTTGACCAAGTCGTGTAAGTTGAAGAATTACAGTACGAGCTGTCTCTTCCGCAACGGAAGCATTAAAGTATTTTTTTAGAGCCATGAATGCCACTGCCGTTCCAGCCTGATCCTCTTTCAGACTGAAAGAATAAATTATGTAGTCGTAGAGCTCTCTAGGGAATGGTTCTTCTGGCTTTCGCAGCAGAACCTCCCTATGCTTGAACATCTCCCGAAAAATTATGCTTGGCAAAGGATATGTTGTCACTTTGGCTTCCCCTCTTTTGACAACGCCTCTGGAAACTTTGCATGAATGATGCCATAGGGTGGTAAAGGTACGGTAATCTGGTTTTACACCACTATGTCGAGTCAAGTTGATGTAGGTATTCCATGCCCAGTCGCCACGTTTAATATTACTATCCATTTGAAGCAATTCGTTCATAAAGTATGTGTTGGGTTGCACCTCAGCTTTTCGCAAAGTCTCAAAAAGTGACTCAAGGTCCTCTGTTCGATCTTGTCGCCGATATCGATTTACGAGGATCGAGAAAGTTTCAATAGTCGCAGCTGGCATTTGAGCCAGCCCTTTCGTATCAGGTTTGCTGTGGGTTTGGATGGTACGCAGAGCACCTTCAAGCTCATTTGTGAGACTGGCTCTCTTACCATTACGGTTTCTGATATATGTTAACCTGGTATTTATCATCCTCCACGCCATATCTTCCGCCATCCTCTGACTTGGACGTGTTCCTTCTCGCATCCAAGCTCCGATAATACCGTTGACATGGCGAGAATCGGGACGAATACCACGTTCAAATGTGATGTCAAGAACTCTTTTTGCGGCACCAATCTCACCCTGTCCTATAAGCCTCTTCATCCAACTACCAAAAAAATACTTGTTGTTGAACTCAGGTGGTAGCGTTGCAAGAGAGCGGGGGTTGAAGTGAGAGAGCTTGACCAATCCAGTACTGGCATCACACGCTCGCGGTCCTCTGCGAGCTTCTTTGGGTGTGAGCATCATATCTCGGAATGAAGCTAGGGCAAGATCAGCTTGGTTGGCTTCAAGAAAGGCCAGGCCGACAGCATCGTAATCTGTAATATCTATACGAGAACCCATATGAAATTTGAGCCGTAAATAGAGCCCCCAAGCAGTTTGAATCGCAGGGTCTGATCCAATGGCCAAATGTGTCTGAATAATAGGGAGAAGAACCCGGTAGGCAGTAACATCATCATCCCAACTCTCTAATAATGTTTCTGCTGTCTGCAAGGCTCGATCGAGCTCTGCGCGATGACAGAAGACTTTCACACCGAGTTCGTAATAAATCCTGGCGCTCTGATTTCGCAAAGCTGCAGCCTTGCTTGTCTCCCACACCATGAGCGCTACGTCGCGATCCTCTGGGATGCCCTGAACTATCAGAGCCTCAATGTATATCATTCTTTGGTCAAATGTCATGTGTACCCTCGCTCTTCTGCAGTCGTCTCCAATGTATTTGATATGCATCATTCGATCAAGGTAATCCGTACCATTGATGCTTGAAAGGATATCCAACAGTACTTCCCAAACACTGCGTGGAACAAGATGGGGAAAATGCACAAGTGCACTTCGGCACATTAAGTAGTTCCTCCATACTTTTCGTACTTGACGTTTGAAGATCTTGATGTCGACTTTGGCAGTAGCAGGGTTCTCGGAAGCTGACCTTAAACTGGCCTTCAAGCTTTTTAAATGGCCCCAAAATGATTCTGGGAACTTTTGGATGTTTTGTTGAGAGAACTCGAGGGTTGGAGTAGTAGTAGCATCACGAGTTAGAACTTTTTTAATTCTTGCCAACATAGAAGTTTTAGGTTCTGGTGTGGAAGTTATGGTAGGAGCGGTATCTGGAAATATAAAATTGGAGGGGTGAGGTGGAACTGAACAGCCGTTAGTATATAGTATGTACATAAAGTTGACCATCAAGTACCATCCTCTGGATCCAGTCCGAAATCTTTTTTCCGCTGAATGTGTTCATTGGGCTGAATGTTGAAGAGGATCTCCCGAATCTTCCATCGGTCCTCTCGGGTGATAACCTCCTTGTCGGAAATGGCACGAACTCTCGATATCAGACTCTCTAGGTCGTTGTTTGCTATTGTTATATCCCGGGTATCTTCCTCCTGGTCGATTTTGCTTTGGATCGCATCTTCCATGTCTTCATCTGCCACTCCATCCCTTCCTAATATCTCCTGGTTCCTTTTGTCCAAGTCGTCTAGTTCTGGTCGCATTGAATCCAGCAGGGCCTCTTCTGGATCTCCACTTACCTCCCTCCGGTCTCCGTCGGGCGTCTCCTCGAAGTATCTGACATGAATAGTTGGTTTATCTTCTGCGGAACGCCGAATGACACTTTCTGGTGGGGGATTGCCACTGCCATTGGTCACATTTCGAAGCAGCCATGGCGGTGGTGGACGTTGCCGTCGGGGTGCATCTAATCGTAGCAGGCATGACCTGCATATATAGCCTGGAGTTCTGGTGGGCAGAAGTGGTCGCGGGGGCGGCATAGATGTGGTTTGGTATTTGGTGTGTTTCCATAAAAAAAAGTCGGCTCGTTTTTTTCAGGTTGAGGTTCGAAGCCTGCCATTCCCGTCATTGTCAGCCTCAGCCATTCAGCCTCGTCGCGCAGATGCAATCGCGTCTCCCAGCAATCAACCCTGACGTACTCAAGTACAGAACTGTACTCCTGCAAAGGCAAAGGCACATGGCACATGGCACATATCAGAAATGTCGGAACATGAAGAAGATGTTAGCCATGCCGGCTTGGATTCAATTGATCATCAGGTAAATCTATTTGGTTTATTCAAGCACGTTGTGACGACGTGACTGTTGCTAACTTGAACATAGCCAGCCTTCATATATACCCCCCGTCACAATCATAACGATGCACCCATCGAGCCGCCTGCAAAGCGAAGAAAGATAGGTACAGGCCGAAGAACAACGTCAGCGTCAAAGTCATGGCCAACGCTGCAACCAAATCCAACCAATTTTGAACCACTTTTGCGCGGAGTGGAGAGTGAGGATTGTATAATGCTGCGCCAGGAGCTATTTCAAAAATGCTGGTCGGAAACAGACTCGCGCATCCAGGTGCAAACTATACTCCCACTGATGCCCCTGGGAATGCCACGCTAAAAATTGGTGTATTCTAGTCGGTATTAGAGGAAGCAAATGACGATACTCTCGCCGAAGTCACGAACCTTGTTAATGCCCCTGAAAATTTGGAGTAAGAGAAGATGGTATGTTTCATTGAAGTTTGTACTAAAATCTGCATAGGATCAGTGACAGATTACCTGCGAGTTTCATTGTCACGGGGCCAAACATTGCATCTCAAGGCCTTTTATTCAAGCAGCTATCAACTCGGCTGAGAGTAGAGGTCGATGGACCAGTGGTAGTTCTACGCTCTGGAGACGCCTCAAATTTAAAGGCTATATTGAAGCAGCTTATCCGTGCAGCTACAAACCAGGGCGGTCATGATGAAGAGGTACTTCATGAGCAAGATGTGGGAAACCCTTAACAACTTACACTCGAGACCATCTGCTCACACGAGATAGGGACGAAAACTCTTGTATTATGATCTTGAAATCCTTCGTGGTTATGTCAGAGCACATTCGCACAAAAAAGTCGTGATTGCATTTCAGGACAGTGAGGGCTTCGAAACCAGTCTATTGGTCGAGCTGATCACATTATTCAAGTAAGCTGAACTGAATGCCATCCAAGATCCAATGCTAATTGTTCGCTTAGTTCGTGGAAGGATCGGATTCCATTTGTGTTACTATTCGGAATTGCAACTTCTGTTGAGCTTTTTCAAGAAAGACTTACACAATCTGCAAGTCGCTGTATATACGGCACACAGGTTGACGTTGAACAGAGTAGCGTGATCATTGAAAAGATATTCCAGAAAGCAGTTGCTAGTTCTGGGGCCACTCTACGACTGGGGCCTACGCTTCTCTCTACACTCATTGAACAACAACAAAGTTATGTTCAGAGCGTGCAATCTTTTATTGCTACTATCAAGGTGAAGCGAAATTATCACTTTCGAATGCAATAATCACTGACTGATATAGTATACATATATGTGTCACTTTTACGGAAATGCATTGAGTGTGCTGAGCGATACATCACAAGGTTTTGCTAAATCTGTCAAGCGTCTTCAACCATTCCATTTTGAAACAATCAGAATGCTTCCGTCATTTCAGAAGCTCGTCGAGTCGAAGGTGGAGGGCGGAGAAAGAATTCGTCCCCGAGAACTTCTAGAGGAAGATGCCGTTGTACTCGAGGAGGTCGAAATCGCTCTCGAGTCTAAAGAGAAAGACATTCTCCGACTTTTGAGAGCCCTTCACGTTTTTCGACAGGCCACTAATGACGCAGATGGTGGTATCGAACCATACATGACCATTTTCGAGGGCGGACTACAGGAATCCGACTACCTCAATCGGATGCTTACTTCAATTAAAGGAATGGCACCTAACGAATTAATTGCCTTTACAGGCAGAATAATCACCGCAATAGAGGACGGAAGCCCAGCGATGGAGCTCGAAGGCTGGGCCGATGAAGACCAAATATTCCTATCAACAATTCAAGATATCAAAGCAAAAATCGTCGCTCTGCAGGAACAAGCAGAGGGAAATGGCACTCTCATCCGCAGTAGCGAGGTCATCAACAGCAAAAGCATGCGAACAACCGTCATCGCTCAACGGGTAGAAATGGCCCGACAAAAGTCTTCCCTCTCCGAAGCAGAAAGGGATTTTATTAGTCTGATTGAGAAATTAACAACCCTCCTCTATGCATACTTTACCCTAGGCAACCCACAAGACTTATTCCTACACGAAACATGGCTCTGCGATTCCACCGACTCGATTCTCGAGGTTTTCGCCCCAAAACCTAGAACGGCCATTGAAGAAGCCCTTTTAGCGCCGAATGCATTTATTAATTGTGAAGCTGCTACCGATGGTGATGGACCATCGGCTACACAGCCTCCTGTCGCCATTTTGTATCAGAGATATTTGGAGGCTGGTTCGTTAATTAATATGGCTGATATGTGGTCTTCGTTCTTGGAGATTGTGGCGGGGGATGATCCGGAGTATAATGAGAGGGAGGGCTTGATGTTGTTTTATAGGGGATTGGCGGATTTGAAGTTGTTGGGGATGGTTAAGCAGAGTAAGAAGAAGACGGATCATTTGGCCAAGGTTTCGTGGAGGGGAATTTGAGATGGATTGTAGAAATCAGGATGTGAATAAGGAAATCTTGACAAATTGAATTGGTTATACGAGTATGTTGATTGCGTAGCAACAGGACTTGGTTCTTGTTTTTTCTCTCTATCATCTGGCAGGGCTTCTCTATCGTATTGGGATTGGGAGAGGGGTGTTGGTTAGAAATGTGCATTCGTTTCTGTAAATGCGAAAGGTTTTAATTCCGGAATGGTTCGCTGATGTGTTCGTAGCAACAGGATCCGTAAAGCGTCGTACGTCTAAGTTAAATATCTTATATACGTTATGCAAAGAACCTGGTATCCAAGTAAAGTCAGGTTGTCAAGTAAAATTTTGTATTCAAGTACAGTCTCGTATACCAACCTGTTTTTAGCTCGTGCAAATGCGCCTCTGGAGTCTGGATAGTTTTCCTAGCAAATACTGGGACCGCAAGATATCGTGTCGTGCCATTTGATATCGAGGTCTTGGAGAAAACCCTCGATTGGGTTTTGAGTTTGGGGGTATGAGGATTTTCATCCTTTTGCCTGGGTCTTTTTGTGGTTGGCGAGTTCTGCGAGGTGAGAGGCTGTGGTTGAGAGTGTTTCGAGGAGGTAGTCTGTTGGTTGCATTGAGAGAGCGCGTTTTCCCTGGGCTTAGGGGGTTTGTAGTTAGTTTTTAATCTTCATATGGGTTATCAAGATTTCTTCTAGTCCAGAGTTACTTACAAAAGTGAGAACATCTCGTCAAGTCCCTATAGAGACCATAACTTTGTATATGATTAGACTGGAATCTCTATCTCTGTACCACCAGATAGTCTTGTCCTCTCCCCCACTCGGTCTCGCTTAATAAAGTAGCTCAACCCCAAAAATATCGCTGTCAACAACTACAACAAGTCAGAACCTTAAATTTAACCATCTCCCTCTGGAAAAGATTTACCAACAACCCCCCTGTTCATGAAAGACACTCTTCTCCAGGCCCCTGCACATCCTCTCTAAACCCCCAAGTCAGCCCAGTTCACAAGCGAGAATCTGCAATCATGAGTAGTCACAGCTCCCCTTAAACCTCCCACTGAATCCAAAAGACCAAAGAAGAAATAGCACGATAAAAATAAACACTAATCCTAGCCAAAGTCAGATTACTGCCCCCTTCCCCAGTTTCCAGCAGACACATCCGTAACTTCTCTCCGCCTTCCCCAACTTCCTAACCATAACTTCATTGACGCGCCTGCCCAAAGATCATGAATGTTAATCATCCACGACAGTTTACTTCCAAAAATTCTTGCATAGAAACAACTTCTTGGCCATGTATTTCTATACTCATCCATCTCTCATCCTCCATGTCCATCTGACTCTGATTCTTGGTGTCTATCCGAAAGACACCCTTCGAAAGATTTCGAAACAAATAAGAGACTATGGTATCTCTGAACCTGCAGGCGATACTCTCATCAAGAAATTCCAGAACCTGTCTCAGTTTCAGTTTTAGTCTTGAAATTCAAAAAGGTCTCGGTAGGTACAACAATGATACAACCCCCCTCATGCGTCTTCTCGTCCTCAAATCTCCCTACCATTATCATACTTCCTCTTCCCCAACAGCGAATTCGTATCCACCCCAAATTCCTCAACAACAGAAACTAGCTCGATATATCCTCTACGTACTGTAGTATTCCAGCGTAGACATTTCAAAAAGTGCTCATCACACTTACTGGTTTGAAGAACATGCACGTCTCCGTCACTTCGACGGGGAATGTCTTACTGTATCATAATCGAACAAGATCTTAAATAAAGAAAACCAAATCAACCCCTGGCTATACAACTCTTTGAAGTTTTCGCTACGGTAGATACTGTGTATGAAAAATTCAGTTTTGGCCGTGAGTAGAAAGGTATTTGTCGGTAAATCCACATTCCATAAGAGCCTGTCAGATCATGAGAAAAAATCTACGGGGTATCTTCTCGCTAAGCTCCAAGACCATATTGGTACAGATTTTGGTGGAACGTTCATACTACATACAAGCCAGGCAATGAGTCACATATTAATGCTTGACCCTCGGTATATGATTTCTGGGAGAAGATATTTCTGGGCCTATGCGCAGCTTGAAGTTTGGATACCAGGGAGTGGAAATGGCCCAAATGGGACCCAATCGAGCCACAGCATTACATCGACCGGGAGGGGGGGGGGTTTTCAAGAGTTGGTTCTACAGTTTATCTCAATCATTATTATTTTAAGCTCCAGCAATGCAATGCTGCGCTAGTTGAGCCTAGTTCCCCTGCGCCCTTCTTTGTGCCTTGCAAATAACGCCCGTCCAAATGACAGCCATCCATCACATCGTACCCACTACTTAGCTCAATATTGATAAGAACCCCCAAAAACGAAACCCAAAGATCCCTGATCTACCTAGGACGACCCAATCTAGCTCGTCCGTCCGTCCGTCCGGCAGGCCTATATGTGTTTTGAAGATCAAAGCTAGAAGAAAGAATATTTACTCTAATCTAGCCTTACCCTCCCAACCTTTTTAGCAAGCCGATCGTCGCTACCATCACCGCTTGATGGCGATGGTCGTTTGGGGGGTCTCTCACCAGTCGATTGTAATATTGCAAGTAATGTAGCCCAACCAGGTGTTGACAGCAATTGGTAGCCATCAGCGAGGTCATGTTGAGAGGCGACCCTACAGAGAAGAGCCTCTTCATCCTGAAAAATTGTTAGTCTCCGGTCAAAAATGGGGCTTCATATTTTAAAAATTTACCTTGCTCAAGACACCATAGCCATGAAGGAAGCAGAGGAGATGGAAATCAGAGACTGCGGCAATCCCTTCGTCTGCCTTCTTGAGCTCCCCGTTTTTGTCCAAGCCCAACTGTCGGCTAACGTCTCCTAGATCTTGGGCTTGACCCAAGACTGATCGATTTTCGATAGGGAAACCTGGTGTCTTCGCCTTGAATTGAGGATTGGATTGCGTGGGAAAGCCGTGGGTAAGTGTGACTAGAAGATATTCAACAGGAAATGAAGGTTTGGCATTTTCCTGTACTTGTGCACCATACTCGTTGATTTTTCGGAAAAATACTTCGGGAATGTAACGTGTTTTACTCACAGAACCATCATCATCTTCCTCGCTGCGGACAAGCATGACTGAAGGGTCAACAGATGGCTCCACAATGTCCGCTCGCACCATCTCGACGGCAGAATTTGAAGCTTGGTACGCAGAGATTGAAATTTGGCCAGACTCATCTCCAGTAACCACACACGTTACGAAATTGGAGCCGAATTTTCCAGTGTCGCTCCATTTTGTAGGCTTAGGGTGCTGTGCTTGTAATCTAGTAGCGAAGGCAATCTCGAGAGATGATAGATAGTATGAATCGAAATGGCGTTTACACAGTACCGAACCGTCACCTGCACCGGCATCTAATAAATCAGTCCAAATGACACCCACTCTTTGCAGTCCACAAAGTCTTGCAACTTCATCAACTTCCTTCTCGTTGTCCCACTCAGCTAGGGTAACACCATCCAGTTCATCTACCTGGGGAGGCTCGTAGATAGCTTCAACCACTGCCTTTATACCAAGTGGAACTTCGGTATACTCAGCATACCGACCATACATGTAGCCGATTCTCTGCGCGCCCGTTCGTCTCCAGAAATCCAATAATCCGTCCACAATCGAAGCGTCCGCAAATTCAACATGGTCGACCATTCGGAAGGGTTGAGGCTGTAGTGTGATTGCACTAGGTTGGCACTTGGTGCATATTCCTAGAGGAAATTGAGGGTGGCCACTTGGGCAGTTTGGCTTGACGCGGTAGTATGGTTCGCTAAGTGGTGGCATAAATGAGCTTCCTAGTTCAGGCTTGTTGGTGGCAGAATTGATCTTGCGCAGATATGAGTGAAATGACGGATTCTTGATTTTCTTCTCCTTCAAATAGTCGGCATTGTATGGTTCCAAGGGAGTACAATAATCGCATGCTCCTCGATCTCCATGCCTACACATCTTTGGGTCTCGTTTTCGAGGTATTCTACCATCTTGCTTGTCTAGCCTATCGTCTACCGGATTCTGCTTGACAACCTCCCAAGGGTTCTTAATCTTCTCTGATGAGCTTGTAGCAGCGAGCTGTGTTGGATCAACTGGTAAGTCTGCGTTTGGTAAGACTGCTTGCCCATTCAACCTATTCGAACTGGTGAGCAAGCCTGAAGAATTTGCTGGGGTTGAGTTATCGCCATTCGCATTTCCGTTTGCCAAGTTGTCTGCGGTCTTGTAGTTGATGAACACCATATCGCCGTGGCTGTAGATCAAAGGTTAGCAAACATCGGTAGTTTTGTTTGAATGAGAGGTTATTACTTCATGCCAATCTGCGATACCTTGAAACCCGCAATTTCTTTCAAAAGCTTCGTATCTCCTCCCGCGAAGGGTTTATTCGAAAGCGTAAGCGTATTGTAGTCGACATTTTTTGGCAAGTGCTCGGAAAGCTGGGCTTGATCAGTAAGGGAGTCTCTACATGCACGATCTAAGAACCACCAACCTTTCTCGCAAAATCAGCAAAAGTATCTGCTGGCTCCACTGTGATTCTGAATGTGCCATCTGGACCTCTGGCTCGAATGAGCATCTCGATCTGTTATGCAGAGGTTGTTCCTCTCGTTGGTTGTATCAATCGTGGAGGGGTAGTCGACCGGACCTTGAATGCTACGGGTGCGAAAACCACCAAAAGGACACAGATGCGGGAGGGATATGTTGTTGCAGGTTGTGGAAGAATTTGAGGTGGATGTGGGTTGAATTTATTTGGATTTAGACGTTGAAGGCGAATACTAGTACTGTAGGAAGTGAATAGAAGTCTGGAGAGCTTGGTGGATAGCTCTGTACCTTACGAGTACGCCGCCTCTAGTTGCCTGAGTGGGACTTAAGGGGATTGTAGTGATGTCAGCCGATATGAAGGCCGAGCAGAGGGACCGCTCCGATATTCCGATCTATCCGTAAGGGTCTGTCCGACGCCCGAACGGCTATAGTTTTAAAGTTATACTTGGCCTCTCCAGTCAGGACTTCGTTCGATAAGAACACATCTGTCTGCCGCTGCCCAACTCTCCCACGAACCAGAACCACATTTTTGTGCTGGAAATCTTTCGTTTAACTAGGCAACTCTACACATTGACATTCTCGATTTTTTAGATCTTCGCAATCCGACCCCTCTCGAGTCCTGGCACATCCCAATACTACTTGACCATCGGGGCTTCAATTGAAGAAAGAGATTCCGCTGCGACTTGCGACAACACCAACCCTCAACCTTTTGACTCGGCGACAAAGCCCAAGTTTTTGACACGATGTTGGGTGTAAATTGGTGGGGCCTTGTGCTCCCGTTTGCCTATTTGATTGTTCTCGTTGGTTCCCTAATGACCTTCTCCTCGATGTATCGAAAACGAATAGCTGGTAGGTCTCTCGCTGCCCCAAGTAAAGGAATGACACTCATATTTCGCAGCGAAATCCGCCAATCTCGCGCCTTGGTTCCCACCGCATTTGCAAAAAAATGTATACCTGTCTTTACTCCACTTGGAGCCAGCCGAGAAGTCGCCAGCTGTCCCAGAGAGTATATTGCGCGCTGCGTTGTTAAGAAGAGCTGTTGAGGATATTAGACGTATCATTGAAATCAGAAGCGCAAAGCAAGCTTGCAGCACACTTTTACAACGTGGTAGTGTTGGAGATGATTTATGGCAACGATTTCAGAGAGCCGAGAAAGAGATGGAGGACGAATTGAGAGATGTGGTTATGGAGGTTCGTGACTTATTCTAAATACATGTGTCAAGTACTGACTTTGAACAGGCAAATGCACTTGGTCCAAACTGGGGTCAAACAATCTTCCAATCGGCAAACGAGATTGCTGCAGGCACACAATTCAAAACCAGACTCGACGAGATCACTTCACAAACCGAGGAAGAGAAGGAATGGTGGGAAAAGCGAAGGGCATCCATCCAATCCGAATTCATGAAGGAGATAGAAAACGAGGCTCCGGAAAGTCCTGCTAAGAAGATTGGCGGGAGTGTGACTACCGATGACGATGCGGTTTTGGTGGACAGTGCCAGCAATGCTGGGAGCATCAGGAAGAAGAAGGGAAAGAAGTAATGGAATTATGAGATTGTAGGCATCTTTCTCTGTACAGTTGCATTAGAGGGCGTTCGGGCGAATTTGGAAGTCACATACCTACACTTGTAAGATACTGCTTTTGGTAGGAGGGACTTTTCCTGTTTTCTCTATACTATCGTCCTACGAATCCCATTTTTGATCCCTTAAATCCTTTAGGCGTCCTGCTTGTGTATTATCATGGCGCCTATAATTGAGAAGCTTTCTTTTCTAATAACATGTCAATATATCATCTGGAGAGGTTCTAAACCATGAAACTACTCATAATCTGATTACTTAGACCGGGGCTCTTGCGAATAGTAATCATCTTTCCTCGTCAACAGCATCTTCAATATGATTGATTTACTAGCAATATTACTGGTACTAGCAAGTCACTGGATGGCAAGTTGGTGGCAATTAAGCTTGAAAAGAATCATTCAAGTGGCATTTCATTCAACTTCCCCAACTACTTTTCATACAAGTTGCCCGCTGATTTCTTTATCTCCAAACCCTCCTACACCACACAAGACCACAACATCGTTGAAGTAAACAAAGAAACCCTCGTCCCAAAAATAGAACCTCCCACCCACTCCCCAAAAATAAAACAACAAAGAGTCTTCCATCCTCTTTAGTCACTTCCAGAATAAAGCTTATCACATCACATCTGCAAAAAGAGAGCCCAGGTTCATAAAAACGGGAGGATGGTTGGAATAGATCTGTTTCTCTCCAGTCAGAGCAAATCATACTAACAGACAGACAGAGCCGATACTCCCAGCATCTTCTCTTCTCTTTTTTTCCTTTCGTTTGTTTCGTTTCCTTTTTTTTTTCTTTGGACCTTATTTGCTATCTATTGCTTCTGAGCTGCCGGCAGCAACCTTTCGTCGTATTATTTCTTTAGGAGGTTGATGTCGTACATACACACATACATACACATTCTTTTAACTTCTGCCTTTTTATATCAACGGACAAACAAAACGGTCGTCTAGAGGAAGAGTCCATCGTACGAGTGCCTATTCTCTTGCACATACACACAACATCTTTACCAACAAACCCCACCCACCCAAAAGAAACTCACCAACCAAACCACCCAACGCCAAAAACAAAAACGAACATGTCCACCCCAACCCACCTTTTGTCCCGGCGCCAAACAACAAACCCCTCCCTCGCCCAAAAAGTCCAGCAAATGGCCATCCCCCTGCGCCCCCTCGTCTCGCTTACAAACGGGACACCACACCCCGCTTTCCCCTACACAATACTAAGCTACTGGCTGCTCACATCCGCACAACTCGATGACTTGGCGCACTTCTATCACCAGCGTACACCTTGTGTGTGGACGGAGCGCTATCCGTGTCCTGTGGTGTGGCGCACAGATGCGAGTATGGAGGAGAAGAGACGGAGGATTGGAAGATTTATTGGGTTGAGGGGGTGTGAGAGTCCGGTGCTGAGTGAGGAGGATAGTACGAGGGAGGTGAGGGAGGCGCGGTGGAGGGAGGAAGAAAAGGAGATGTGGGGGAGGAAGAGGAGGGGGTATTAGGTTTGAGGGAAGTCCTAGTGTGGGTTTTTTGAGAGTCTTTTAGCGAATAAATGTTCTGTTTTTTCTTCTTCATTGATTTTGGAGATTGGTGTTGTGATTTTTTACTTATTTTGAATGGATAAGTGATTTAACAAAAATGATATCATTAACTGTGCCTCTAGATCTTGCAGCACCGCACTTCGCTTGTATTCGCCCAAGACGAGTGTCACTGGGTAGTCTGAACTATTAGGCGAAGTATCAACTCATACGGGGAAGAATAAGTAAATCAACTAATAAGCCAACAAAAGTTAGAATGAGATGAATAGGAAAGATTAGGTAAGTATGCGAGGTTTAAGTACAGGGTATACAGGGTGAAGAACGAGTGATTATTCAGTCCCGTATATACCAATAATACTTTTGTAGAGCTATAGTACAACTGAGACTTCCTTGCCACGCATCATAAAAATGAAATCAAGACCCATGTATTATCCGAACTCTGCATCACCACAAAACTCGGCCTTCATATAGTCATTTGGAAATCTTCAACTAACGTATATTTTGAACATGATTTGTCCACCTCTGTCTCGCCTGCCCATTAATCTTCGCAGAACTGCAATACCCAAACTTCAACAATAATCTTCCTAATATAACCCTGTGCCTTAATTTTCTCAAAAGGGAGCTCCCAGCATCTTCTCACTCGAAAACTCTCTTATTGGGTGGATGCAAGTCTTCCTTTCCAACTCCATCCACCGCATCTTCCAGCATCTTCCTACAATTGCCTATAAAGCCCGTCACTAAAATAAAATCAGTAAATCACTCCCCAGAGCGTTCCAACACCCAAAAATTCCAGCTAATCTTTCCCTTATTCCTTAACAATACAAGCCACTCCACCAAGGCGAAGTGATTGAATACTTTGCTCGAGCATCGAGGAACCATCTACAAGCTACACCCGAGACGAGAGCTATACCTCGTTCACTTTTCAGACGAACCGCTTCTGAGCACAGTCTGGATAAGTGATACAATTGATTGGTTCCCAAATTTGTCGTTTATTGATAATATAGCTAGGACTTTGACTCCTAATACTGCACCCAAGAGTTTCCATTTCTAACATAGCTTAAATGAAGGGGAAGAGAATCTTGATACTTTAGCGAGATAAGAAAAAGGGGGATAGGATTAGAAATGATAGTTAGGGAAGCTTGTTGTGTTGTATCCAGTAAGTAGACATGATGTATTTGGTATTAATAGTAGACAACATGGGATTGGAATTGTGCTTGCAGAGTTCTAGTGAAGAATAGATAGGACGAAGTGGAGACTTGTATCACAATCATTAATTTATAATACATAGAAAACAGGATTTAGTATCTAGAAGCAACTCATATAAAGACGAAGGTCAGACCCAAGCCCCCTTTAATTACGCGAGACTTTATTATAGAAACCTTAATTCGACCAAGCGAAGCGTAGTATTATACTACCTATATAAACTCCTTGAATTTATAATCTGGGAAGTCTTCAGCTATACAGAGTCGGTCCCTTTTATACCTAGCTAATAAGTAGGGCTTCCTCCTAGCCTTCCGGCGACGCTAGCCAAAGTTTACTAGCCATCTCTAGCTTGTCTTGTCTTGCCTTATATAGTATATACTAGTCCGTTATAGCAAGCAGCCAACTAGTCCTAGTTTGTATAGCGAATTAGGTAATAGTTAGAGTAGAGCGCTCGAAGGACCTTCGCTTTTATGCCCTTGGTAAGGCGGTAGTTGAACCGGCTTATTCGTACGCTTTACACCATTAGAACAGGTGCAAACTAAGCATCGTAAACTGTGCTAAGTGGCTTTTTCAACCGATTTGCAATCGTAGTATAGGGTGCCGGCCCCTAGGTATCTTTTCGTAGTCGCGCTAGCCATGGATTTGAGCTCGTTTAACTATCGATAAAGTAGAACCATCAAACGTCTGGATTTAAGGGAGGTGTCTCGGGGCGGGGGG